GCGTGCATTTATTTTTATTCATTAGAGAAGTACACTGTAAAATCAGCGTGGAGCATTTAAACACAAAGCTCCACGCAATGTTGTCCCGTTATCCAGAATTATTATTATTATTAGGCCTATTATTATTACTATTATTATTATTATTATTATTATTATTATTATTATTATTATTATTATTATTATTATTATTATTATTATTATTATTATTATTATTAAGTTGTATTTTCTATGGTGCATCAAATGGATTAATTAGATCTCTATGATTGCCAAAAATCCCTAATGAAAGGTCATGAGAAATTTGTTGGCACTTCATTTTGACTATGGTGATGTCATGATGGATTTTACTATAAGATTGTCATTTCCGCCCAACTAGAGGTACTATTTACCAAAATTTCCGCGCCCCAGCCCCAACCATGTTGGGGCTGACATGGGTGTGGCCTCACGGTAAAGTAAAGTTAATATACCAAAGACAATGTTTTAAAGTTTATTTTCAATGGTACATCACACAGATTTCTTAAATCTTTATGATTGCCGAAAATCGGTGATAAAATATCACTAGAAATTTGTTGGCAATGGAGGTACTATTTTCTCAAATGTTCGCACCTCAGCCCCAACCAGGGTGGGGCTGAGGTGGATCTGGACTAATCTGGAAGTAGGTAAAGTAAATACATCAAGGAATGTCATTTCACGAAGCTCTTGTCCTGAACGAAGACGCAACTAAAAAAACTTGTTCATGCTCTTATAACTTCAAGAAACTTCAAGACTTGACTATTGCAATGGTATCCTATTTGGGCTTCCAGATACTCTTATAAAAAAAATTACAACTACATCTTAACTCGGCCGCACGTCTAATTAAGCTCACCCCAAAGTCACAGAACATCACGCCAATACTCAAAGACCTACATTGGCTTCCAGTTCGACAGCGTATCAACGTCAAAATTCTTCTTCTTGTGTACAAATCGCTTCATAACCTATCACCCACGTACATGCAAAATCTTCTCAGACTACGCTCATCCACTTGTTCCCGAGCACTCAGATCAATTACGAGTTCATCAACTTTGTTTGTTCCTGGGTGCCGTTCGAAAACATATGGTGAGAGATCATTTCGTGTTGCGGCTCCAAAAATGTGGAATGCACTACCCGTTGAAGTCCGTGAATCAGCGTCAATTGACATCTTTAAAAAGCGACTCAAAACCTTTTTATTTGCCTCTTTATAGCTACTGTTTTCTTCTTTTTTTCTTTTTCTCTGTTTCACCTTGCTAGCTAGTGTTGTTTGTTCCAGGTTAGGAAGCTGATCCCAGAAAAGATCAAGACTTAACCGATGCTAACCGGAGTACATTAACACAGATCTCCGGTTGGTGGTGATGGTGTAACCCCATACTTCGGTTTGGGTGCTAGCTTGGTGTTTTTTGTTTTTTTTCCCCGGCTTTTTTCTTTGTGTTCTTGACTTCATTATTGTCTAGCGCATAGAGACCTCGTTTATTTGCGCTATATAAATCCATCTATTATTATTATAATTATAATTATTATTATTATTATTATTATTATTATTATTATTATTATTATTATTATTGTTATTGTTGTTGTTGTTGTTATTATTGTTATTATTATTATTATTATTATTGTCCGATCAACGTTGACTTATGGAAGTCATTGTTGTTTATTATTATTATTATTATTATTATTATTATTATTATTATTATTATTATTATTATTATTGTCCGATCAACGTTGACTTATGGAAGTCAATGCTGGTGTCTTCTAAAATGGATTCATGTTATATTGGATTTCAACGTTACCTCGTGAATTACAAAGCCACACTAACAAATCTGGTGTCACCAAAACCTTCAAAAAATATCGACTAACCAACGATAGAATAGTGGAAATTTGTAACAAAGGTAAAGTTTCAAATTCCATCAATAAAATGGGATTGCACACTGTACGATCATGGAGGTATAAAACGATCATCAGATCAACGATTTATCAAGCAACTTACGTTTGTAAGTGATATTCCAGATAATAAGAAAAAACAGGTATTACGGATTCAACATATAGACAAGTAATGATGAGATTCAAGAAAAATGGAGAAAATGAAAAGACGGTGCTTAAAAGAATGAGGGATCGCAAATTATGATATGCTGACGGCTATCAACCACAATATCAACTAGAATGTTGATGTGGAACAACATTGATTGATTGAAAGATATAGTGTTTCAAAGTTAATTCACCATGGTAAATCACACATAATATGATAGTAGAACCCTTATTAAGGGGACATCTTTGTGACCAAAAAAGTGTTTCCTTAATAGGGGTGGCCCCTGAATAGGGGTCACCAAAAACGTGAAATTGTCCCCTTAATAGGGGTTTTTGGCATGTTTTCATATAACGATGATGTACAATTCTTTATAATTTCATTTTTATTGACATAGTTACAGTAGAATTAAAACTACCTATTTTATAGCAATAATTTGCAATGCAAAGACAATTCATTCATAATATGAAATAAGCAGAAATATAATTAAAACAACAATAATTGTATATGTTCCCGATATTGTTTCATGATGGATGTTAATGAGTGAATTAGAATCCTATGAAAGCGAAAAATGAAGAAAGAGAAATCCTCATGGTTAAGGGTCGAAATTGACCAGATTGGTTTATGCGAAGTAACACATGCTGTATGCCTTATACGGTAATCGATATTCACTCCAAGGATTTACTGAGAAAATTCTGGTAGTGCCCAAATTTCAAAATTTAATTTTTATTTTCAATTAATTTCAAATTCAATTTATTAAAAAAAAACCAACAAAACTCCGGAACAGAGAAGTAAAGTAGTAGGCCTACAGTAGAAGAACTTTAAAACAATAGAACAATTTCATTAAAGAGGGACAATTTATTCATGCATATGCCTACCAGAACAATTGAAATAAAAACCACATAAAAATTACAGTATACAAATTCTCAAAAAAAAAAAAAAAAAAAAAAAATTCAATCAAATCAATAAGAGGTAAGAACAGACACTTTAACGTACAAGCAAAACAACAAACCATGAAAATACTTAAACACGCCAAACTACTACCAAAGAAGACGGATTATTGTACCTTATTCAAAATTCTTTTTGCACTTCAATTTCAGTTATAATAATAGTAGACCGTGGGTTGAGGATCGAAAACGTTCAATTCTGTGACCCACCAATCCGGGCTACCTGGCTTTTGCACAAAAATGTCAATACTATTAAATTGTAACATAATTTGATTGTCGGCAATCGTGAAT